ACAGATTTAGAGCTACAGTACCCTAAAATGGAAGCCTGATCACTCTGCTCCCCTGGTTAAACCCTTCAGAGTCTTCTATCTTTAAAACAAGTTCCAACATCCTCAGTGGTTTTCACGATTCAGGGATCCTGCCTAACATCTGCTACCCCACCTCACTTCCTCTCCAGCAGTTCTGTACTCCAACTACACAGTCTCTGCTATCGGTCTTCAAGCAGACCAAACTCTTCTTCTCTGGATCTTCCCGTCTCCCACATCTTCACCTTAGTCTGTTTTTCTTTATCCAAAGAAAAATATTACTGGGTGTGGTGGTGCACACCTGTAATCTCAGCACTCAGGAGGCTGAGGCAGGAAGATCACCATGAATTCAAACCCAGCCTGGGCCTCATAGTGAGTTCAACCAGTCTGAACTTCATAGTGAAACCTTGTCTCAAAAAAAAAAAGAAGTTAAATATTACCTCACAGAGGACTTTTCCTGGACCTACCACCAAAAGTTCAGAGGACTATTTTGATTCTATACCCTTTGCTGGCATCCTGTGCACTTTCCTTCAAAGCCCTTAGCAAAAATGTAATGATTACATGTACTATGATTTAAGTCTGTTGTTGACACTACAAGCTCCCTGAAAGCAGCAATCAGGTCTGTGCTGTTTAGTACTCATTCTCTGTACCTACACTATGCTTAACACACTCTCAGCCCTCAATAAATAATATACTAAGTGAATGGAACACAAAAAGGAACACACTGTATAGAAAAAACTGGCTAGTCTATCAGAATGATGAGAGGTACATACATCAACACACACGACTGAAGGTATAGCTCAGTAATGGAGTATGGTGCTTTGGAGGCTCTGGGTTCCATCTTCAATAGCAAACAACAGAATAACCATAATGGAAAACTCAAAGAACCAATCTATGATTTGTGATGGCTCTGTTCTATAAACCCAGCACTTGAGAGACTGAGGCAGAAGGATAGTGAGTTAAGAGTCCAGCCTATACAGTTTAGCAAGACCCTTCTCAAAATAAAATAAAAAGGGCTGAAAATGTAACCCAGTGGTAGTATTTGCTAGCATGAACAGGTCCTGCTTTTTATCTCAAAATTACCAAAAAGGAGGGGGAAAAAATCAAGTCTCCTCATAGTGCCCTACGATCCACTATTCTATTCTGTGTATTCCTCCAAGAAATTTTCCCTTTCAGTTTAAAATAATTTTTTTTTTTTTTGACATAAGGTCTTTCTTTGTGGCTCAGGCTGGCATTCAAATCATTATATAAGCCACACATGATAGCACATGCCTGTTATCCCAACATTCAGGAGGCTGAGGCAAGAGGATCATTGCAAATCAAGACCAGCCTGGGCTACAAAGCCAGCCAGAAACACATTGCAAGACCAGCTCAAAAAGGGCGGGGGGTGGGGGGGAATCATTAGGCAGCCTAGGTTGGCCTTGAACTCAGAGCAATCCTCCTGCCTCAGCCTCCCAAGTACTTGGAGTCCAGGCATGCACCACCATACCCAGTATAAGTTAAAATGATTATTAATCTCAGCACTTAGGACTTGGTAGGAAGACTGCTTTTTGAGTTCAAGACAAGCATGGGACACATAGCAATTTCAAGGCCAGTCTGTACATAGTGAGACCTTATCTCAAAATAGATAAATATAAAATAAGATAAATAAAGTGATTTTAAAATTTAAAAAGTCCAGCCAGGCATGGTGGCACACAGCTGTAATCCCAACACTCTGGAGGCTGAGGCAAGAGGATCACTGTGAGTTCCAGGATAGCACAGGCTATACACAGTGAGTTTAAGACCAGCCTTAATTACAGCACAAGACCCAGTCTCAAAAAGCAAAATAATAATAATAAAATTTAAAAGTTGAAGGCACGGTTTTGTCTGTTTTTGTCCTAGCAGAGCTGGATCTAACTCCAGGACCTTGAAAGTGTCAGGCAAGCATTCAACCACTGAACTACATCCCCAGCAATTATGGCTTTTACAGAAGAAAATAGTTTGTGCCAGGTGACTTTCTATAGGTCAAGACAGTCTTCAGTCACCAAGATATCCTGTCACTTCTGGGGCAAAACTGAAAATGACTCACAGAGCTAACACTATCCAACAGGAGGCTCAGAATAAGTATCACCCTTGATTGAGGACCTAGGAGTTTTATTAATGAGCTATGCAAGAATAATTACCTGAACTGACATTTGAACAGGCATCCATGGGAAATGTCCTAACTCACCAAAGAAATAATGATCCCTGAGGAGACACTGCTGGGGTAATGCTACATCTGCTCCAGGCTAATACAAAACTAGAAGTATAATGGATTAGAACAAATGAGCTTGTTCATGTATGTATTGTGTATTCTAAGGACCACAGGAAAACTTCACTACTTTGAAATTTTTCTATTTCTATTTTGCAAATCATTGGCTTATCAATTTCTATATTCTATGAAAATTTATTAAGTACCATATCTAATCATTTCTAACTGTTTAAAAAGGAGAACTAATTACTTAAACGGAATTAAATATTATCTCTCTGTCCTTCTCCTTGCCTACGCCATAACCACTAAAAGCTTTTTGGGGGGTGTGGCTGGATATCAAACCCTAGGGTATTTCACCAGTAAACCCACCCCTACCTCATCCCCCCTTCTAAATTTTTTTCTTTCTTTTTTTGTACCAGGGACTGAACTCACGACCTAGCGCTTGGCAGGCAGGTACTTATGCCACTGAGCTAAATCCCCAGCCCCAATCCCTTTTAAATTTTAAGAGGCTCTTGCTAAATTGCCAAGATAGGACTCCAACTTTGCATCCTCCTGCTCAGCCTTTTTACATGCTTGTATTACAGGTGTGTATCTCTTTTTCCTACTAAAAACACTTAGTGCTCGCTTCAGCAGCACATATACTAAAAACACTTTTAAGCTCAACAGTTACAACAGAAGAAAGCACTGGGGCTTTTTTTCACCAAGTTACACAAGAATATAAAACATGTTGACAACTACACAGCAAAAGGAGAATAAAAAAATCAAGTAGGAATTCATGGGTGAAAGTCAGGTGCTGTAATACATGCCTGCTAGCACTCTGAAAAGCTGAGGCAGGAAGATCACAAGTTCAAGTCCAGCCTGGGGAACCTAATGACTTAGCAAGACACTGTCTCAAAAAAACAAACAAAAAAAATGAGCTGAGGATTTAGCTTAGTGTGATAGCCCTGGTTTCAATCTCCTGTAGCCTAGCAAAAAAGAAAGAAAAAACTTCATGAGGAATTTTCAAAAGCAAAAATGCAATGTATTGTAAGTAACAAAATGTTCCATTTAACAAAATGTATCCACAACAGGTATATCTCAACTCTAGACAGAAGGATAATCTCAGCCTGTGACAACTGCACAACAAATCCTCTCACAGCCCTGTTCAGATGCACACTCAACAACATGCAAGCAGAGCTGAGGTTCTGTGCAAAGTTTCTGAGAGCCATAAAAACAGTAAACCCTTGGCAGTACAATAATGCTGTAGAAATAGTGATGCTGCAAACTGAGCTTAGAGAAGGGCTTGGTTCCCCAATGAGAATGGTGTTTGAATTCCAGCTAGACTTAGTAACTACAGCCTTGAGCAAACTAATCTCTTTGGCCTTCAATTTTCTATTAGGATCATAAACATCTTGAGCCTTTAATCCTAGCATTCAGGAGGCTGAGGCAGGAGGGTCACTGCAAATTTGAGTGAGGCCACCCTAGACTAAACAAAACAAAACAAAACACTAATAATCTTACCTATCTCATAGGGCAGTGAGCCCACAAGCAAACACTAAGTTAATGCATTTACTGAACTTTTGACTAGTGGGCAAGTACCACCATGGATGCGCACACATGTACATTAACTAGTAAATATCTGTATTCAAAGATTAATAGTTGCTGAGGCCAAGCACAGTGGTAGGTGCCCGTAACCCCAGCTACTCAGGAGGCCAAGACAAGAGAATCTCAGTTTGAGGCCAGATTGAGCTGGCCTCAAAGAGACCCTGTCTCAAAACAAAAGTCTTTTTAGTTAAAAAATTTTAAAAAGTTTGTAGGCAGCTGTTGCACAAACAAGTAATAAGCCAAACTATGAACCCTGAATTTAATTCTTTTCATCTGTCACCTACCTTGTATACACCATCTCTGGCCTCTGCAAATATGTACCGGAGGGCAAAAGCATGTGAATATATGGAAATGGGAAAAAGGAAGTCAGAGCCCTATGTCTGCCACATATGACTCTATGAGACTTCAGCCAATTCAACATTTTCAACTCAAAGCGAGGGGATCATACAAAATTATGCAATAAAATCAAATCAACTATGCCAAAAACATAAACCCCCCCCCAAAAAAAACCCTAAATCACCTTAGTCATGCAAAGAAGCCTCCATTTAAGCAAAATGACCACCAAATTATAAATGTGAGGACTACTTTTGAGAAAACCACTAACCTCGAAGCTTCCTCACCATTAGCTGGGTAAACCAAAACCATACAACCATTTGAGAGGAAAGGAAATGCAAAAGGAACCACTGTCCAATATAACAGAACAACCCAGTTACTCGAAAAATATCAATTCTGGGTCCCGTCCCCCACCTTCCATGCAACACGATCACATCAAGATTTATATGAAAGCCTGCAGGATGAGTAAGCGTTGAGTTAAATTCACCTAACACGCCTAAGGCAAACTAAAAAAAAACTGGAAAAACCCTCTTGCAGCCCTGCATACTCTTTGCAGAAGCTATCACAGTCGCTTAACCGCTAATTTCGGCCCAAGACCCCCTCCCGCGGCCTCCCACGTGTGCCCAGAGCAGCTGTTTCTCCACCAAACAGCTCTGGATTGGAAGCCTGGGATTCTGGGTCTGGTTCTGTATTTGAGTGACCTTGCGCCAGCCCCTACTTCCCTTCCCTCAGTTTCTCCCTGGTACGGGGAAGCCCATCTAGGCAGACAATCCCCTTGGGCCTAATTTCCGTAAATAAGTTATTGGTGAGAATTTTTCCCTCGGGGTAACTGGACCACCTTCTTGCCGAAACCAGTTTCCTCTTGCAGAAGACCGCGAGTCCCTCTCAGAGAGTCCGAAACAACGCAGTCCGCGGGCGGCGCGGGTATGTACGGTAGGACGCTTCCTATCGGGCCTGCCTGTCGGCCAACTTGCTGCTGCCCCACCGCGGCTCTCCCGGCCCGAAGCTCAAGGAGGCCGGGTCGGCGCCTACGTGAGGCCCCAGGCTGCGGCCTAGTGGCCCGCGCGGCCCGCCCCCCGCGCCTGCCCGCTCCGAGGGAGCGCGCTCCCTCAACGCCCTTCCTGGGCCTTGGCCTTGGCCTCGGTAGCTCTCGACGTGTCGGGCTGGCGACCAGTCTAGCCCCGGGCACTCACCGTAAATGGGCCGGAGGCGCCTGTCGTTAGGGTCCTGCACATGGCCCCGCGTCGCCATGATGACAAGCGCAGAACCGCAGTGCGCATGCGCTGGGCTGGCCCCGGGGAAGGGGCTGTTAAAGGGCCAGCGTCGATCTCGCTGGTCTATCGCGATAGTCGAGGGTCTGCCACTGAGCGCGGCTGCGCAGAAAAAGTGTTTGGCTCTTTGGTTGTTTTTTCTTCATTCTTCTGCTCTCACCCAGAGGCGTTAGTAGGTGGTGTTTCTGGCGGAACGTTGATGGAATAAACCGGCTATCGGAGGCTACTGTTGCTAATTAAATTATTTGCAGGGCATCCATTGAGGAGTAAGGAGAGGAAGGGGAGAAAGCCTTAGATGAAAGTTAGGGCTTGGAGCCAGGCGAAGTGGCGCATTCCGGTCATCTCAGCACACTGGTAGACTGAGGCAGGAGGTCTCGAAATTTATAAAAGTGAAAATAAAAATTAAAAGGTCTAAGGTTGTAGCTCAGTGCGAAGGCCCTGAGTTCAATCTTCGGTACCTCGAAGGGGTGCGGTGGGGCTTTGCTATCCCGGTTTATCCTTTTGACCCTTCTTGAGTGAATTGGCCTTGGTATCAATTGTTGGGAAAGCACGAATTATTTAAGAAGATTGCCTCGGGAAAGAGGGCTAATCAACAGTCAAAAACTGCACGCGTGCGCGCGCACACACACAGACAATCCCAAAAAAGTTCGGTAACTCTCTACCTTTTTCTTTGGGGACTCCGTCAACTAAGAATTTATCCTAGATAAATAGTAATTCAGTATGAGCCTAGGTACCTTGTTGCAAGCTCTTTAAAAGTATGGTATTACCATATTTAATATTCATAACACCCCTAGATACTGTTGATTTCCTTTTTTAACAGATAAATTTATTCATATAACACAAAGTTATTGAGTACTGGGGTTGGGGATTTAGCTCAGCGGCATAAGCGCCTACCTGGCAAGCATGAGGTTGTGAGTTGGATCCCCGGTACCAAAAAAAAAAAAAAGTTATCAAGTACCTATAACTTTAGCCCACTTTGTTTTGGTTTGTTTTGTTTTTTGCTTTTTTTTTTTTTTTTTTTTGAGACAGGGTTTCACTATATAGCTTCAGGCTGGTCTTGAACTCTGTATGTAATACAGGCTGGCCTTAAATTTGCAGTAATCCTCCTGCCTCAGCCTCCCAAGTGCTAAAAATATAGCACGTGGCACCAGCTAGCATATTTTTATTTAGGCTGGGCAGATACATTAATAAACTTGTCAAAGCCTTTGTGGCACTTTATTTGTTGGAGACTGACAATGAGTACAATAGTGTATTAAGTAGGTCTCACTATATTCGATATAATTTGGGCAGGTTTTGAACTCACTAGCCCAAGCTGGGCTCATACTCAGAGAAATACTGTCTCAGCCTCCCAAGAGATGGGACTACAGGTGTGCATGATCACACATGGTAGTAAAATGTCAATAAATACCATTAAGAAAAATTAAACAGGAGCCAAGTGTGGTAGCACACACCTGTGATCCCAGCACTTGGGAGGCAGAGGCAGGAGAATCACCTCAAGTTTGAGACCAACAAGGGCTACAAAGTGAACTCAAGGCCAGCCTAAACTGCATAGTAAGACCTGTTTCAAAAAAGACCAAAAAAAAAAAAAAAAAAAGAAGAAGAAATGGAGGTGAGTTTAACTAGTGTGGTTGTGGCCGGCTGGAGTGGCACATGCCTGTAATCCCAGCACCTGGGAGGTTGAGGCAGAATTACTGAGTTCAAAGCCAATCCTGCGCTATACAGCAAGACTTTGTCTCAAAAAGACTAACTAGTGTGATCAGGGAAAGTGCATCTGACCAAGTGGATGTTGTCAGAGAAACAGGAAGTGGGTAAGAGAGCCAGGCAGGTGGGTAAAGGTCTGTGAGGTCAGGAGCTAAAACCACACCATCCTTGTTACTAATGTTGATAAAACTTAAATCCTGAGCAGTTAATGCCTCTACTACCTTATCCTTGGCCAGCACAGCCTCCTTGTGTGAACCTTAGCCAGCTGGGTTAGATTTCTTCCACTGATGTCGCCTCCTCCTTTTCTGGGCCTTTTAGTGTCCAAGAAAATGATACTGCAATGTTAGGCGATGTCAGAATCCTCTGGAGAACTTGATAAACTCATGCCTTTGGCAGTTCTGCCCCAGACAGCTTGATTCAATCCCCGACCACCTTTTGAGAACTACTAATTAAGGGATCTAGATAAAAAGCATCAGAATCCAGCAGAAAAGCAAATAACCAATTGTTAGTAAAATATCAGGGCTAGGAAGTAGAGTATTGCCAGGCATTGGCGGTGCACACCTGTAACCTCAGCACTCTAGAGGCTGAGGCAGGAAGATCGCCAGGAGGTCGAGGCTACCCTAGGCTACATAGTGAGTTCAAGGCCAGCCTGAACTGCATACAGAAAAACAACAACAAAACAAGTTGTTAAAACAACAACAAAAAGTAAGATATTTTTAAGATTTACAAGGACAGGGCTGGGGATTTAGCTCAGCAGGCATAAGTGCCTGCCTGGCAAGCATGAGGCCATGAGTTCGATCCCTGGTACCAAAAAAAGGAAAAAGATTTACAAGGACATTATGATCTTGCAATTATGTACTTACCAACCACCAGGATACACAACATTCCAGACCACTAACAGGAAGCTAGAGATATCCATTCATCAGTTCTTTCCTACTCAAACCCTCCCTTCTCCTGTCTAAGGATAAAAAGTTTAAAACTTTTTTGCAGGAAGGAAGTTAGTGCTAGGATTATAGGCATGTGCCACCGTGCCCAGCAGAAGTTTTTTACTTTTTTTTTTTTTTTTTTGTCTTTTTCACTGGTACTGAGGATCAAACTCACAACCACACACTTGCAAGGCAGGTGCTTATGCCACTAAGCTAAATCCCCAGCCCCAAGCCCCAGGAGTTTTAAACTTATACTGCTAAAATAGTTTCTTCCCCAGGGTACTTGACTGCCATTTCTCATTATGTAGGCATTCCAGATGAATCTTTTATCCAACAAATTATTCAACCCCAGCACCATCAAAATAATTGTTTGTTGTGTACTTTATTTTGTTTTGTTGAGACAAGATCTCATTATGTAGCCCAGACTGGCCTCAAACTCCCAGCAATCCTCCTGCCTCAGCCTCCCAGACACTCAGATTATGGGTGTGCACCACCATGCCCCCAGCCAGTGTGGATAATCTTGCTAAGGCTACAGCTCCCCTAACTAATACTTGATACTTTATCTAACATCCTTCATTGCCATTCTTTTTTCTCCACAGAAAGTGTGGAGATCTGTTCCTTCACATATTTGGGTTCTAAATCCCCAACCTGATAGTAAAGTTACTCTTCTGACAAATTCACCAAGCTTTTGCCAATCACACCTGCAGCTCATCACTCACTTAAAAAAAAAAAAAAAATCCGGGTCTCGCTTTGTAGTTCAGGGTGGCCTTGAACTCACCACGTAAACCTCCTGCCTCAGCCTCCTGAATACTAGGATCGCAGGTGTGCACCACCACACCTGGGCACCAGTCACTAACTGTTTTCATTGTCTTCTGCGAGGTTTTTCTTCTTCAGCACAGCTAGTGAGCCAAGAAGTAGCTATCTGAAGACAGATACCTCTGTTCTTTCAACACCCGATAAATAATGATGGGGATGGCCGGGCGTAGTGGCTCATGCCTGTAATCCCAGCACTCGGGAGGCTGAGGCAGGAGGATCGTTATGAGTTCCAGACCAGCCTGGGCTACAAAGTGAGCTCAAGGCCAGCCTGAACCGCATAGTGAGACCCCATCTCAAAAAAGACAAAAAAAAAAAAAAAAAAAAAAGAATGATGGGGATATATGTCTCTCAGAGAAATGAGATTACAGATAAGGAGATTAGGGTCCACTTCCTGACTGGCTAGGAAGTGGATGTGACCTGTTAACGGCCAAGTTCTAGGCCATGTATGCAGAACACTCCCCAAACCCTGCAGGTGGCTTTCTCACGAGAATCATAGCAGTTTGGAGTTGGATGGCCCAGATCTGACATCAGCCCAGTGAGTGGAGGACAAAAGGTCAGTCACCACTGAGCTCAGGGTACCGTGTCCTTCTGCAGGCTCCTCTCACGAGGTAGAACACGTTTCTTTTCTTTTACTTGGCCCAAACTGCAGAGTATGTTTATTTTCCTACCTTTACTAAATATAAAACCCTGCTATGAGGGGCTGGGGATTTAGCTCAGCGGCATAAGCGCCTGCCTTGCAAGCAGGCAGTCGTGAGTTCGATCCCTGGTACCGATAAAAAAGAAAAAGACAAAAAACAAAAACAAACAAACAAACAAAAAAAACCCTGCTGTGAAAGAAAGAAAGAAAGAAAGAAAGAAAGAAAGAAAGAAAGGGGCTGGGGATTTAGCTCAGCAGTATAAGCGCCTGCTTTGCAAGCACATGGTCCTGAGTTCGATCCCTGGTACCGATATAAAAAAAAAAAGAAAGAAAGAAAGATGGTCCCCAGTATAAGAAAGAAAAAGAAAGCTAGCTAGCATATATATATATAGAGAGAGAGGGATACATTTCTGGAGGAGTTTTTTTTAAGATGGTCTCACTGTGTAGCCCAGGCTGACCTTGAACCCATGGTAATCCTCCTGTCTCAGCCTCCCAAGTACTAGGATTGCAGGTGTGTATTACCATGTCCAGCTATATAGAAAGATTCTGAAAGAATATGGATAGACATTAAACCTCATCTCTTGATAGTATTTAGAGGCTGATTTATGTCTTCTTACTGTTTTGTTTATTTAAAACAAACAGAAGTATTTTAGCAGCCATGAGTAATACACTCAGCACCCAGATCTTAGCTCCTCTGGTTTTGGGGGGTTGATTTTTATTTACTTTGGGGGAGGTTGAGGTAGGGTTCTGGCGCTCCTGTACCA